TTTTTTTTTTTTTTGGCAGGCACTGAGCATCTTTTAGGCATTGAAAAACAGGAAATGAGAGGAAAAATCTCAAGCCAGATGTTGGAGCTTAGGTGTGTAAACGTGTAAAGCCATATTTTGGCAACTGTGTGCGTGCCCTGGCCTTTTGAGCTGCTGGCTTATTGAACTCAGGCAAAGTCAGCTGCATGTGCTCAGCATCTCTGGAAGTTATTGGAAGGCGAGGTGATTTTATAATTTCTTTTCTTTGACATCTCCGTTTAGTAGAGCATCACGGCTGTGGTACCACGTACAGGAACTCTGACCACGAGAGGGCACATGTGCTCCGCAGGTTGTGCCAGCCCGGCGCTTGTGAAAACGGCCTGGCAAGGCTCCCTGCACCAGCGGCGGTGAGAAGCGCTGGCATCCACGGCAAAAGCCATCAATGGCCGTTAAAGGCCGCTCCGCAGAGAATGTTTTTGGGAACTGCAGTTCCTCTAGCAGCGTTATTAGGAAATGTTTTTGTAACCTGAACTTTCAGACCGAAACTGGCGCTGCGGTGTGCAGCACAAGAAAGTTTCTGCAGAAGTTTTCTGTCGCTAACACAAAATTTGACTTAATGATTGATTTTGCACCAGTCTGGTCAGATTTTCATGGATGAAAGTGGGCAGGAAGCAAAAAATATTTTATTACTACAAATGTTATTTTTAATAAAGTGACTGAGAGTGCATATTAGGCGATATTTTGCACAATGTAGAAAAAGTTACTTTTAACACACCAAGCTTGCATCATACTGGAATTATTGTTTGGTCAGTGTTTCAGATTTCTGAAAAAAAATGAAGCATCCTGTAGGGTGAAACAGGAGTGAAATTTCACAAGTAGCAGTTTGGGGTGACAGCATTTTCTATTCAAGTGGGATCACGGTAGGCTTGCTCATGCACCTATCAATCATTTAATAGGGTGGATGTCTGACTAACTCAAGTCATCAGTTAGTCATTGCCAGAACTTCTTAAGGGGATAAGTAGAACAGTAACAGCACAGTTATTACCCATAGCAGTCTAAGTCAGCAGCATCATCTCAAAATGTCATTCCTTAGAGGAATCTCATGAACTGCAAGTGCAGTGAAGGACACGCATTAACTTTTCGCGGCAGTCTTCAGTTCCCTTTGCAGAACAGTCATTGCTGTTTGACACATAACAAATTTAACCAACTTTCCACAAGTATGAGGCAGCTTTACACGTAAGACATGTATACAAA